TAGAAGAAACACTTAGCTAATTAGAATAAGCAAAAGAAAGAAAATGAAGAATTGGAACTTTCTGCACAGATAACTTTTCAAACTAGTTTTAGCTGTACCCAGATTTTCAAACCAATGTAATTTAATTAAGTTAGTCACTTAGTCTGTAACTTCCAAAAGCGTTGGAACAAGCAGATACTAGTCTGTTCCAGGTTCATTTAAAAAGATCTCCTCTTTAAGCCTCTTTGACTTCCTCAAGCAAATTAAGGAACGAGTCCAACTGCGTCGTTACTCATGCCGTGGCGCGCCCGCTGGCTGAACTCGGTTTGGTTCCCGGGTACTCGGCTTCCCGCCTCTTATCTGTGGCTGTGTACTCACGGACGCACTCGGCGGGGGCCCCGCTCCAGCTGCGGTTGAACTGGCAGACGCGGCTGGGCGCCCCCCTGCGCTCGTACCCTCCCTCACAGTGCTGCTCGCAGCTGGCGCCGTAGTTGTTCCCGTCGGAGGAGCAGCTGACGTAACCGTGCAGAGGCGGGTGCAGCTCCGGACATCGCCTCACTGGATGGACAACGAAGCGGGAAAAAAAACAAAAAACGCTGGCCTCAGCAGTCCATCCATCCATTATTGTTACAGCTTATTCCCTGATGGGGTCGCAGGGGGAACTGGAGCCTATCCCAGTGGTCAATGGGCAAGAGGTAGGGTACACCCTGGACAGTCCAACAGTCCCTCACAGGGTCACACAGAGACACACAAGGACCAACAACCACGCACACTCACTCGTAAGGGCTATTTAGAATGTCCAATCAACGTAACATGCAGGTTTTTGGACAGTGGGAGGAAGCCGGAGAGAACCCACAGACACAGGGAGAACATGCACCCCCTCCACCCAGAAAGGTCCTGGTTCCCCCGTGGACTAGAACCCAGAACCATCTTGCTGTGAGGCTAACCACCACACCAAGGTGAGAAGATTCCACAGGACAAAAACCAGCATCTCTGAGTGTCGGGGAATTTTAAAACAGAAAATTTTCTCCGAGTCCTGGTTCCCCCCGGGACTTGAACCCAGCACCTTTTTGTTGTGAGGCGATAGTGCTGACCACCTGACCATCGTGATGCCTCAGCAGTCTTTAAAGGCTTACCCTCAACGCGGACGAGAAACTTGCAGGCAGCCCGGTTCCTGGCCTGATCGTAGGCTTTGTAGCGGATGATGGTCACCCCCTCTTTAAAGTCGGTGCCCGGCTGCTGGCCCTCCAACACCACACTGCAGAGGGATGAGAGCGGTCCGGACGTTTAATCTAAAAACACAAAGAGGAACGGGGAGAGGGAAAGGAGCAGCATACTCAAGTGACTTGTCGGCAGTGTCCGTGGCAGTGGGGGGGTCCCAGGTCACGGTGGCGGTGAGCTTCCCGGGCCCTGCAG